AGACAAAGTTAATGCTGTCCACTCTGCAGCACCTTTCAAAGTGGATGCTAGTGAGAGGAGCAGCTCACCTGGGAATCCAGGAGTGTGTTCTCCTTTCCTGGAAGGAGATTTCCTGTGCTGACAGGGTGGACTCACTACAAAGATAAAAAAAATGTGTATCTATCTATGTATATTACATATAATTTACATACACACATACACACACATATATATGTATATCTGTCTATCTCTGGTGTGGACTCCAGAAATATGGATTTTAAGTCTCCACAGATGATTCTGATGCATAATCAGGGCTGAGAACTACTGCACCTGAAAAAGGCTACCATCTCAAAACCTGCTTCTAAAGGAGGCCCTATTCTAAATACCTGTTATATACATAAGCCATTTTCAAGTAAGATCTCACATCCCACTTGGCGACTGATACAGTTTGGATCTTAAATGTCCCCCACAGGCCCATGTACTGGAGGCTTTGTCTTCAGGCCACGGCATTATTGGGAAGTGGTGAAACCTTTAGGAGGTGGGAACTACTGGGAGAAAGTTAGCTCATTTGAAGGAGATATTGGGACTCCGGCCCCTCTTCTCTGTTCCTTCCTGCCTGCTGTGAGGTGAACAGGTTGCACCACCATGTACTCACCACTATGATATGCTACTTCACCACAGGCCTAAGCAAGGAGCCAACCGATCATGCACTGGAACCTCTAAAAATGCGAGTCAAAGTAAACCTTCCTCTTTTTAAACTGGGGGAGTAATGGAAAACTTACTGACACAGCAAGCCCTTTCCAAATCACATAATCCCCAGCAATTAATCATTACCTTTCGTCCAATGGTTCCCGAGTTGCAGCTTGGACATTTTAAAAAAAAAATCTCCCTGGACATCTCCAGTAGGCGGCTATGTCTGAAACTTAGCCTAACTCCTCTTGCTGCCGTTGGCTAATTTCTCCTTTTATCCTCAGGAAGATGTTCTGCAGCTGTTTTCCTTTTCAAAGCCACCTCAGCCATCTTTTCTCCAAGATAAACAATTTCAAATCCTTTCATCTTTCCTAAGAGTTCTTACTTCTCACCCCACCAATTGTTTTCATTGCTCTTCTCTGGAAACTCTCCAGCTTCTTAGCACCCTTGTCAAGCTGTGGTGTGCAAAATTTCCTATGGTTCTTTCACATCCTTGTTGACAGGCTAATAGTGTATTGGTTTCAACAACAGCTCTGCATTGCCAACTGAATTCATAGTTTCCACCAATCAAGAAACTCAGTAATTGAATCTAAGCATGTGATGTACACATGTAATCTCAGTACTAAGTACAGGAGAATCATGAGTTCAAGGCCAGACTGGGATGTATAGCAAGATCCCAACTCAAAACCAGAAGGAAGTGAGGGTAAGAGGGGAGGAAGGAGAAGGAGGGAAGGAAGAGAGAGAAAGAAATTCAGCAATTGAGAGAACTCTACCTACACACTAGGAGTCTAAGAGACAGAAGCCTCAAGAAGATCCAATAGCCTGAGTACTGAAATACGATGAAATTCCATAAAGTTCTGCAATGTGGCCAATGGAGAGAAGAGGGGGAATAAAGTAAAAAGAAAGGACATAAATGGAGAATGAGAACAAAATTTCAATATCTGATTAAAAAAAATAAAAGGATTACCAGGGAGGCAGACCTCCACAATTCTAGTCCTGAATGTGGCCCTCGTCAGTCATGTTACCTTGATGACCCATTTTATCTCTCTAGGCCTTGGTTTCTTTGGAAAATGAAAGGGTAACACTGGATCATCTTGACATTTCACTTCAGCTCTGGGTTTTCCATAGCTGATCTCAAGTTCTGACAAAGAACAGACAGCTGTCCTGATCCAGGTGTGGTGGCTCAGGAAATCCCAGCTTCTTCGGAGGTGGAGATTAGGAGGCCAATCTAGGCAAAAAGTTAGTGAGACCTCATTTCAACCAATAAAGCTGGATGTGGTGGTGCGACCCTGTGATCCCAGCTACATGAGAGACATAAACAGAAGGATCATGGTCCAGGCCAGCCTGGGCAAAAATACGAGACCCTATTTGAAAAACAACTAAAGCAAAAAGGGCTGGAGACATGGCTCAAGTGAGAGGGCGCTTGCTAGCAAGTGCAAGGCCCTGAGTTCAAACTCTAACACTGCCAAAAAATAATTATAGTCCAGAGCTAGCACCAATAGATTGTAAACTTTGTGAAGACAGTACAATGCAATCTTGTGGGTATAGATAAAAATTTTGAACCACTTAGTTCACCTAGCAAATAACTGTAAGATTTAAATGGGTTTAAAGGTATTTTCCTCAATCTCCAAGAATTAGAGATAATTAATCCTCACCTTTCATGAGCCATACCTACCAAGACTCAGTCCCATCAATATTAGCAGTTATTCTTGTGCGAGGGACAGTCACAGACATGCTTTTAATTAGTCTTCAGTTACAACCCAGAAAGATTGGCATTATCCATTCCAATTTCATAGGTGAGGAATTGAGCCTCAGAAAGGAAAAGTAAATTGCCTAAGGTTTCAAAGCTACTGTCAGGATTTAGCATATTCTTCTGCTACACCCAGCAGAAGTACAGTAGATTTACCTTGAAGTTAATAAAGCATAAGCTTCAGGTTCTTTCACTTGCATGAGTGCCTTCCAATACCCTACGACTGGTCTTCAATTCTTAAGTCTGTTCTATTTTTCATAGAGACCCCTGCCACAATTATCTAAACTCCAGGGCCTACGAAACCTAGATCCACTCCTGAACTCAGCTTCCAAGGTTAATACAACATTACTATCTTGTTTAGGAATTCAGTCTGAAGGTGTTTTTCAAACATAAACTCAAGAAGAATCTTCTTTCTGGTTTGGGAAGCTATGCTGGTCCTTTAAAGAAATAGCAGAGTGTTGGTGTCACCTTGACCTATGTGAACAGGAGTCACTCCCTAACTTTTTCCCATTTACTTTGTATCCACATACTCTTCTTAGGCTGTGAACTTCCCCACCCCCTTGTGACAGGTCTCCTAGTCTAGTTTCTTCTACTCTGGTCCTCAGATCACTTTGTTCTGCCTAAATCTGTGGTGATGACTGTTCTGTCCTTCCTGCAGCCTCTTCTGCACTCTGCTCTTTAGAACAGAGCCTGCAGCTGCTCTGGTACTGGACCCCAACTGCTTTTTGTAGACAACCAAGCAGTGCTGTTGTTCACTTGGAAAGGAATGACTTGGAAAGAGGGGAAAACGAGGGAGTGTTTTATACCTCAATTTCTGTTTCGTTCCAGCTTCTTCTATATCCCCTCATGTTTACCCATTTAAAAAATAACAAAACTTGAATGCTATTTTATCTGCCATTCTGTTCCTTCCTTTTTAACCTTAGTTACTGTAACTCTATTCCTTAGTTTGTATTCTTTTTTTAAAAAATAAATTCTATTGTCTATATTTGAAGTTTACAACATGATGCTCTGGTGGAGATAGTAAGATGGTTACTGGAGTGAGGCAGATTAACAGCTATAGATATGTTTAGATTTTACCTGCATCTTTAGATTTTATATGCACGAAATGTCCCTTCTTAAAAAAAGAAGTCCCTCTTTTCTCCCTCTCTGCAAACCAATAAATAGTGTAGATACAATTTTAGGAAAGCAGTTAGCAAAGAAATAAATACCTTAGGAATTGGGAGTTCAGATGAACTCAGCCCATCATTTCCTTCTCCTTGTACATTGTCCAGTTGTTATCTCTCATAGTCTCACTACCTCCCACATCGCTGTAACCAGCTCACCAATGAGACACAAATAATTACCATGTGATGGTGGCTTAACTAGTAGTATTAGAAAAAAGTGGACGATGCAAGGCTATTTATGCATATTTCCCAGACACATTTTCATGCAGATATTAGGTAGGCATCTCTTAGGAATGGTTTAAGGTACCATCCTATTGGTAGCAGAACCCCATGGAAAATTGATGTCTTAGGATGCCTGAAAACCTTAGCATTAGTTTTTAAGACATGATTTTAGGAGACATGTATTAACTCACAGAACCTACAGCAAGTAGAATATTAAACATGTCCCAAACAAGAACTGCAAAACAAACACACGAAGCCAGTACTGGCTGAGGTGCCATGACCTTGCTGAGGTAGAAATGAGCCTGTCAGCAAGTGGACATAGATAGGAATCGCCTAAGTAGGCAGAGCTGGCAATCTTATCTTGGAAAGGTATTATTGTCTACTAGTTTACAAACTTGGGACAAGGTACTTTAAAACTCTGAATTCCACTTTTGGTTTCTTCTCTTACCTCCTACATCTTCAAAGCACACATCAAGAAACCAATTTACTAAAGCCCTGGACTCACCTGTAGGAACAAAATAGAAACTCTCATGATGCATAGGAAAGATAAGAAGAAAAAAATTTCAATGATGAGGAAACCCTCACATTTCTTTTATTTGGGAATGAGAAATACAACTTCTGTTGACATCTCCAAAAGCAGAAGTCTCAGAAGGAGCAAAAAAAAACATGTATGGAGAGGAAACAAACCTGCATACTGTGAATATTACACATTTTAAAAATCATGATCTTTCTGGGCTTGGAGACATTCGGGAGGTTGAAGCAGACCTGAGAGTTTGAGGCCAGCCTGGCCTATATATCAAACCCCTAAAAGGTAAGATCTGATTATATCATCCAGATTTGTAGCTTGAAGGCTAAAATAATGCTTCTGCATAAATACTAAAAAGGATATGAACAATTTGAAGTGTGTTCAGAAGAGAACCAGCAGAGTTAAGGAACTCAGCACACATAAAGTAGGTTTGATGAGTTTTCTAAGTAGAAAAGAGTGGTTTTATTGAATGCAGGATATTAATCAAATGGCAGCTATAAATACCCCAAATTTTATATCATAAAATTTTAGCCCAACTGAAAAAAGTTAAGGTTTTTCTTTTCATGAGCATTAGAGAAACAAAAGACATAATTTCCCTTTTCAGTCTAACAATGGGAGAGTATAGGCAGAGTCAGTTTTAAGCCTAAGGAAGTTAGCTTTTCTCAGGTACCTGTCTTAGTATAATGCAGCACATTTCCCACAGTGGCTATGTGAATGTGGACAGGTTTACAGTGACCTCCCATGATCCAGGCCTCCTGATATTCACAGTCCTCTGTGATCTCCTTCTGTCCTGTGACTTCCCTCTAATCAACAGAATTTGGCAAAGATGACAGGATATATGGGGTTACATATACACGATTATGTTACATTAAGATTGTGACACCTGTCTTGCTAAGAGATTCTTTCACATCCTTGCTAGTTTTCAGGATGCCAATGGCCATGTTTGGACAGCTCAGGAGCCAAAAAACTAAAGTTGCTAAATGAAAACTGAAGCCTGCAGTCCAGTGATCCACAAGGAATTAAATGCTGCCACAAACCATAGGAGCTTGGAAACAGGTATCTTCACTCCAGTTTCAGATGTGCCCACAGCCTCAAATGCCACTGTGAATACAACCTTGTGAGATCCTGAGGCAGAGTACCTAGCAAAGTTGTGTCCCTACTCCCGACCCACAGAAATGGAGGGGCAATGAAAGTCTGTATTTTAAGCTGTTAAATTTATGGTGATACACGGCTACAGATAACTAATCCAGTGAGAATAGTGAATATATACAAATACTTAAAACTGTGTTTGCATTAGAGGTTTTGGGATGACTACATGTACAGACGCAAGGAAATGCAAAGCACAGGCCCAATAACCTGAAGAGTGTGTCATGAGAAACTTAAGAAATGCAGTTGAGAGGAATACTCTAAAGAAACCTAACATTCCTCACACCAATTAATCAAGATAGAAAGGATTTAATACAAAGAATAAAACTATAAAAGTATTAAGCAATGTCATAGAGGTACTTTTATTATCTTGTAATGGGGAAGGTCATTCCAAGCATTTCAGGAAAACCAGAAATTATAAAATTAAACAAGTTTATATCATAAAACTTAACTTCTATAAGGAAAAAAACTATAAACAAAGTTGAAAAACTAATAACAAGATGGTCAAAATTTGCAGCACAAGACAAAAGGGTCCTCAGTATACACCACTCTTAAAAAAATCATTAAGATTCCATATAATGCAAACTATACAGCCATAAAAATGATACAAATTAGTATTTATGGTCATGTACAAATGTTCTCAATATTAAGCAAAAAAAGCAAGTTACAAAGCAGTACATACAATGTGATACACACATCTGCATATATGCCTACATAAATATGCATAGATAGTTGTCTCAAAATAAATTCCATGAAATCTAACAGTGGTCATTTTGGGTGGAAGACAATTTTTCATTATTCTAGCTTTAAAAAAAAAAAAAAAACAAATGTAGATACACTATTAAAAACAAGTATTTTTAAAAGAAAGTTTTGGAAGCATTAGTGCATCTATAAAGCAAAGAGCTATTTGGCAGAGAAGTTAATCATAGGAAAACATCTAGTGAAAAAATACCAATGTGAAAAACAAAGAAAAGTAACTTTAAGGATGGAGCAAACACCAATATGCACACATAGTCATTTCTGGAGAGGCAGAATGCTCCTGAGATAACTTCCAGCACTATTAAGCACACGAGAGACGTTTAAAGAATTTGGGGGGAGAATGGGAGCCAACTTTGAATATGACACTAAAGGAGAAATAACAGAATGATTAAGTTCCATTACCACATGAATGATCTCCGTCATACTAGTGGTAGACACACAGAGCTGTGGGTGAAGCCATAAATGTGAAACATCCTCATTGTGCACAGTTCTTAAAAACCATTAAGATTGCTCATACTGTATTCAGAACCATGCTTCTCAATTCTATCTGAATATTAAAATAAGCTCAGAGATTTTTTTTTTTTAAATCCTGATGCTTGGATCTAAGAAAGGCAAATCTATAAAGGCATCAATTAGTGGCTGCCTAGGGCTGGGAGTAGAAACAGTGACTGAATAGGAGTGAAGTTTCTCTTGGGGGTGATAGAAATGTTCTGAAGTTCATGTGATGTGGTGCTGGCTGCACATTCTGTAAAATACTAAAAATCATTGAATCATGAATTAAAATGAGTGAAGTTTGTGGAATGTAATGTAAATAATGCCTCTATAAGGTTAAAAAAAAGTAATACTGAAGCTTGGGCTCCACTGTGAGCTACTTAAGAGTCACTTGAGTGGAGTGTCAGTGGCAGGTATTTATGATTCATGGTTTTCACAAGCACTCCAGGTGGTGCTAATGTGCCATCAGCACTAAGAACCACTCAATTCACTTATCTGAAACAATTTTAGAGTGACTTACATGTTTTCAAGGCCAGGTCCTTTGAGATAGAAAATATTCAGCACTTGCTATGGAATATCCTTGGTTTCCACTGTACAAATGGAATGCTAACTATGTTTGTTGTGAACTCCATCTTGTTGGGGTGATTATACAGATAGACCCACTAGTCAGAATCACAGCTTAAACGCCAAGAGGATGCTCTGAATTTAAGATGAATGTGAAGTCTGAATATCTTCAGATAAGCCCAATGAGTAAGATGAAGGTATTCAAGGTTGTAACATAAAAAAAAGAAATGATGTTAATGATACTGGAGGAACTGAGGATAAGGACTGAGAGGGAGATCTAATGGCTATCCTCAAATATTGAAAGGGAGGCCAGAGAGGCAACTTAACTAACTTTTCATATCCTCAAAAGAACCTGGATTGATGAGGCTACACAAGAAGATAGGTATCAGATTTTTTAAGAAGACCTGTACAATAATCTTCTTCTAGGCACTGCACTAGATCCTGGAGATATGGACATGGTGACTATTTCCTAATGCTTCTCAAAATTCAGCAAGCATCATTCACAGGGCTGTTAAAATGCACATTGTTGGCCCCACCCAGTTTTTTAAGAGTCTATGGCAGGGCTCAATAACCTGCATGTCTAACAAATTCCCCAGTGATGCTGATGCTGTCAATCCAGAAACTACATGTTGAGAACCACTGTGTAGTCTAAATGCTGTTAGAGATCCAGGGAAAGACATCGAAATCTGATTAGAAGAGTAACCTGAAAGAGTTTGGGGATCAGCTGAATTCTGAAGAATGAGAATGTAGTAAAGAGAAAGGGGAGGTGAGGGTGTGGCAGACTACTAAGAAGAATAGGAAAGAATAATAATATATAGGGAGGAACAAAGACATGAACCAGCATTCATTGAACACTGAATGTTTACTACATTCATAGCATTGTTCTAGTTGTTGGTATACAGAGATAAAGGAAGTACGGCCTCTTCTCTCATGGAACTTATAAATACACCAATACTGCAAAGTCCCATAAAGAACAAACAGGCTATTGCAGAGAGAAAACAAGAGAGCCTCTAAAGAGGTAGCATTTAAGCTGACGTCTCAAGAATGAGAAAGCTAGAGGAACATTCCAGAGACAGTGACTGAAAAGAGAAAATCAAGATAGCTGAGGCACAGTGACTGCATGTGGGGAAGATGAGTTTAGAGGTAAATGGGACAGACTGTACAAGACAAAGTAATGAACAGACTATCTCTTCAGACAGTTCATTCTGGTGGTAGTTTGGAGGATAAGCTACAGTAACAAAACTGGCATTATAGAAACAAAAATCTAGGTGAACAGTGGTAAGGGCATGAAAGGCAGTGAATCTAAAGGATTAATTGACTCTAACTGCATATAAAAAATGAGTGAGCAGGAAGAATATTAGGATGGTTCAAAGGGTTTTGGCATGGGTGCCAAGCCATTCTTTTGGACAAATAAAGGAGGGAGAACTGATTAGGGGGTAGGAAGGAGGTACATTTGGTTTTTGACACAATGAACTTGGATTGATTAAAACAAACACAAGTTATGTTTAGTACAGTGATTAAAGAACTTAGAAATTAAGCATGCGCAGGTGACAGACTTGGGAATCAACAGAATAAAAGTGGTAACTGGGAGAGCACAGTATAAACAACCCCTGCTGACATCATTTCAAGCTGGTAAAAAAAAAATTTAAAGCAGTGATCAAGAAGCCAATGTAGGAGTTTTAAAAGGGAAGTGGACAACACCATCAAATGCTGAAGAGAGGCGTGTCCTCTGGACTTAGCAATTCGGAGTTCACTAAAGACTTTGGTGGGAATAATTTCGCATAATATTGAAGGTAAAATGCAGATCACAGTTAAAATGAGGAGTGATGTGAAAGTGAAATAGAACAGTTGGAGCTTGGCTACAAAGAAAAGAAGAAAAAGTGGGAAAACAGAGGTGAAACAAATTCAAGGGAGAATGTTCGTATGAGACTTCAGTATGTTTATAATGAGGAAGTATGTTTAAATGAGGAAGAGTGAGCCACTGGAGAAGGGCTGATTGATGAAACAATGTCTCTAAGGAGTTAAGGAACTGTTCATTCTTATACATATTGATGGTGTTGACCAGAAGGCAGACACCTCTTCTGTGGCAGATGAAGATGTTGAGGTACAGAAACTAAGGAAAGCTTCACACTCTCCTGTTTCAGTTCCTTCTATTAGTTGGCCTAGTAAGCCTCTGCTGAGGGAGGAGAAATATATAGGCTTGGGTATTTGACAAGAAGTGAAAATCTGGAGTAGTCTTTAAAAATGGAAGGGGGGGGGGCAAACATGGTGGCTCAAGCCTGTAATCTCAGCTCCTCGAGAGGCTGAGATTCACAAGATTGTAGTCCAAGGTTGGCCAAGCAAAAACTGTGAGGCCCTATCTGAAAAATAAAAGCAAAGAAGGCCTGGGGTATGTATGGTTCAAGTGGTAGAGCACTTGAATATAAGTTTAAATCCCAGAACTGCCTACAGATAATGGAAGAGGTTGCTGAACAAAAAGCCTACCAACCTGAGTCAAACTGTTATGCTACTAATCAACAATGTATACTCAGTAGTACACAGAAACCCATGAATGCAAAGAAGACAGATGGTTAAACTGATCCAGGTATAAGATTCTGCAGAACCAGCGATGGGGAAATAGAACATGAGTGACAGATCAGCATCTGTATCAGACGGAGTGAAGCTGAAGGGTGATTACAGTTTGGAAGAAAAAAGTGGCTAGAGAGTTAGAGGTTCCTTGAGGTCAAAACAGTAAGTATATTAAGAGATCAAAAGACAAGGCATTAACATCAGTTGTATGAATAGGGTCCTAGAATTCAGTATTTCAGAAATCAGTTTTTGGCATGGTCTTGAAATTAGTTTACTAAATGGAGTGAAAATAACCACTGGAGGTTTAGAAATTCTAAGGTCATTCATAATCAATTTAATTGCCCCAAATGGCAGGGCTGGGGACAGAGGGACCTACAAACTATCAAAGTCCCTCAATGAATGTAGAGGAACCAGAACCAGAACCAGAGATGGCAGTAATAAGGACAGATGGGTAGTAAAGGCCTCCAAGGGGAAGAACAATGGTGTGACAATGGCAGCCTGAAATATAGGGGGCAACAGACCATACACTCTATTCAGACCCACTTACAGACAAGTAAGAAAATGAGTACTTTCCATGCTAAGTGTGACTGAGGGAGAGCCAGGATTCAGTTAACTGAGAAACAGTTTTTCTACAAAGAACAGGGAGGGAAGAGCTCTATAATGCAAAGAACTGGGAGAGACGGCAGCAACGGGAAAATGAATCGAGGAAAGGAGGGAACAGTATTAGAATGTGAGCGAGTACTGACTAACGGACGCAGCTTTATATTAGACGGCAGCAATGCACACGGGGGTAAGAAGCAAAGTGAATAAACCAGCCTCAATGACCCAAATACATTCTAGAGTGAAGATGGCTCTATGACAAAACCAACAGAAGTACTAGGCAGTGACCAAAACTAGATGTGCTTGGATTGTTGTGCTGAACTCCAAAAAAAAGATTATTAGCGATAAGCTGTTTGTGTCTCAACAAAGCTTAGTCCCAATCGAGAGGGTGGCAGGGCAAGATCATAAAGACTAAATGTTGCCCATACCTAAATGGCCTATTGGTTCAGCACAGCAGCACAGTACAGAAAGGAAGAGACCCGTGTTCTGACTGGGGGTGGGGAGAGTGGGATTTACTCTCACTGGGGCCAGGTATGCATTCAAAACAGGGAAGATATGTCAAAATGTGCCTACTCTCACATTATCACCATGAGATACATATAGGCTGGTCTTGGGCATATAAGCAAATGCTCGATGAACTCTGAAAAATTCAGACCCAAGTGGAAGAGACTCAGGTAAGCTCTAAGATGGATGTTTGTGACCAATATTTAGATATCCTTAAAAACAGACTAGAGATGATGTTCCCTCAAGGGTACAGTAGTGGAAACTTGGCTAAACTGTATTATTGTCTTCTTTAAATTCTCTAACTATTTTAGGAAGAAACATTGTTTAAAAGACCAAGGAGAGGATCTATGACTTAAATTTCCTTGGATTCATGTGTACTAATGTACTGTGGTAGAAAACCATGGCCCCCAAATAGCTAACATAAGGTCACACAAAGAACTAAAACACAGATTATTTGACTCCTCAATCTAGTTTTATTTTGCTTCTTGGTGCTGGAACCCAGGGCCTTGAACATGGTAAGGCAAACATTCTACCACTAAGCTACATCCCCAGCCCTTGGTTTTTTGAGACAGGGTCTTACTTTGTAGTTCAGGACAGTCTTAATTCTTGATCCTCCTGTCTTCATTTCTCAAGTGTTGGGATTGTAGGTGTACACTACACTCAATTTAATCCAATCTTTTTACATTATGTAATTCTAAATTTCTCATCTGGACTTCCGAAAAAAATTTAATCTACAGAAATTGTTACTTCACCTCTAGGTCCCTGACAACACAAAAAGTTTCCTTAAGTTCTCCAGGTAGAAACATCTTGTTTTCTAAGGCTTCTTGTGGTACCTTTGTTTCCCACTGAGAAGATACACAGGCCAGCTCCAAGGATAAAGTTACAACCAAAAAAATATTTTTTTTAGGTACAGAAAATTTACTAATAAATTTCATGGAACATTAACCTATGGAAATACTAATTAAATTTTTCTTCCTACCAAATCAGAGTAGAGATACATCTTAAAAGAGCAAACAGATAAGAAGAGTTAGGAAATTCCAAAATCACTCTAAGGTTTATTCAAATACAGTATTTGGTCATGTTCTTTCCTATTTTCATATTGTTCTCTACTTTTACCATGGATGATCTTCCAACCAATAGTTACGCTTTCCATGAAGAATTGAGTCTTTTTTTTTTTTTTGCTGTCAATCACAATGTGAAAGCTCCAAGAAATACTTGATCTGAACTGGGAGGATCTCATATGGTTTTTGCAAAGGAAAGGATTTGTCATCTTATGAAATTTCAAATATCTTGTTTGTTGGCAAGAAAATTATCTCCAAGTTGAGACAACCAGATTTCTTTCCTTCGCTCTCCCAACTCTCCTCCCATCACATTCATAAGGGTCACACGCTTCATGAAACTGACAGCAACTTTACAATCTTACCACAGCAGAACCTTAACATTTTATACTTGCACAACCTGGTAGCCCTGCCAATGAGAAAGAAAGTGCCATTTACTTCTCTGAAGTAACTTGAAATGTGGACTATTTGTAAGCATAAGGAGGCCAAAGGAAAAAGCAAATAATTTCCTTGCTCTCTATCAGTGAGTGGTTCACTACAAGGGGAAACATTTCTTAAGAATCAAAGGTATGCCAGAAGCCAGTGGCTCACGCCTGTAATCCTAGCTACTCAGGAGGCAGAGATCAGGAGGATTGTAGTTTGAAGCTAGTCCAGGCAAATAATTTGTGAGACCCTATCTCAAAATACCCAACACAAAACAGGGCTGGCAAAGTGGCTCAAGTGGTAGAGCACCTGGCTAGCAGCGTGAAGCCCTGAGTTCAAACCCCAGTACTGTCAAAAAAAAAAAAAAAAAAGAATCAAAGGTGAGGAAGTATCTGTTGGTGGTCACCACTTGCTTCTGGATGAAAAGAGAGGACATGTGAATGTTTAGATTCACGTCATTCCCTTTACACTTTCCAAAAACACTATTCTCAGGAATGGTAATAGGTTAATCACACCACTAATTATCAAATTATTTCAGCTCAGTTTTTTCATTTGTTAGAGAACAAATAAAATATTAGAAACTGCTCTGGCACAGTTTAATAGTGGCTCCCCTATACTCACTAGTTTTCCTCAGGATTTACAATACTCATTGCCAAAATTTACCTTTGTTTGGTTACCACTTGAAGTTGCCACCAATGTAAATGGCAGGGAGTGGGAGTAGGGCTAGGGAACCTGAGCACACACACAACTGAAAAAAATTAAGACGTAATGCAATTAACCTATCTAATATTCTTTCAGAAAACAAAGGAAATGAAACATGTTCAAAAATGAAGAAATAAGTTATACTTCTTATAAGGCACCACTAATATCCCTGATAAAATGTAAATATGTAAAGGAATAATCAATAGGAGGTGCTGAGGTTTCTAAAAGGCATTATTCCTGTTCTGACAACCCAAGTATTACAAAAGCAAAAGCAAGCAGGATACATCTTTGAAAGAAACCCATCATATCCTTTCCCAGTGCACATCCTAGGTTGCATAGTGGAGAATGGATATGATCCAGGCCAAGACAAGACTCCAGTTCCAAAAATATGCTAACGCCCATTCTTTCCCTCTCATGCTGTAAATACCACTAGGCATATTCATAGTGAAAGGAGTAATGGTATGCTTTAATTTAAAAAGATTTCAGAAGAAAATATACATAAGGACCTACTGCAAAAGCAACTTTCTACATACATATGAAGCTAATTCAGATGTGAAATTTTATTGAGCCTGGTTAATGTGGGGCTTCAACAGCTCAATCTTCCCACTAGTTATAATTTCAAATTCCACTCCAAATTGTTACTTTCTCCTTTAAAAAGTAATAATTCCACTCTCTGAAGTCTTTAACTTTTCCTATCATTCTCCTCCTACTTTATGTAGCCTTAACATGGCTTTTGCAATAACTATCAGAAAGTGAAATAAACATTTGTGAGAGGAAAATGTTCCCTAAAAGCTAACTACTAATGCTATACTCATAGTTCTGAACTTGGGAATCTGCAGTTTTAATAACACATTCTTAAGAATTATCAAAGATTGCTACCTTTTCATTTTTCTATTACCTTTGTCAAAATATTTGTAATGAAGACAGTGAGAAATACCTGTGAAAGTATTAAACACGAAAGTTACAACACAAATGCTGAAGAATTTCAACTTTGAGTAGATAGGAAGGTAGAGAAACATCCTAAATCAAGTTTTTATACCAAATGTTAACAATACAGAAGAATGGAGTTGTTTGTAAGTAAGTAATTTCCTCTAAGTGAAAATAGTGCTTTGCATTAGAACATCAACATTTCTTTAAATAGATGAATCTTCTTTCATTAATTCCAAAATTGAAGATTTTTATTTTGGGGGTAGGAAGGAGTACACTAATTTCTCTCTTGTATTCTTCTCAGCCTTGGTCTAAATCTGTGGTCAAGATAGAACAAATTCTCCAAATAAGTACAGAAAGATCCTAAAGTATCAATTAAAGGATGTACTTAAGTTTCAGAATGTAGCAGGAAACAAGCTATTCATGGGTGGAGATGGCCTTTTATTTTCCCCAGGTATCCAACAGGCAAATACTGTACCAAACATACAATTATTCCTCAGTAGTCATCCTTATATATTCACTATATACTCCAAGATCAAAGTGCCTGAGCAGCCACCCTTCTCGGCATTCTGACGACTATCCATTGTTGATGAAATAGTTCATGGATGAGTTGTTGAAAGGGAAAACCACATTTGTGAATGTATTCTGGGCACCCATCATTTATATTTTGAATTTTTGACCCACACATATTTTGAAGACTTACAAAGGACAATAAGTAAAAAATATTGTGCTTTCTTCTACAACATTAACCAGACAAAATTCTTAATTAATAATCTTTACATAGTTTGTCAAAATGAAAGTCTATGAAACTGGTTAGTTACCTCGTTAATGTCTATGGAAATCTTAAATCGCACACTTTGAGCTAAGATCTCAAGACACATGTATAGCGACACTTCTAAGCTTCTTAACAAAGCAAGATATTCAAAATGTTATCTAATATTAAGGAAAGAGTGACCAATATTTAAAAAGTAGGTAGTATGAACTAGAGAGAAAGCACTTACATAAATTGGATTTTATAAGAAAGCTTTTTTTTTTATTATTAAGATGCCTTTTGAGTTAAATCTCATACCCACTCAAACTGTAACTGGACAGTACATTTCACTTCTAGTTACTAGAAGACATTTCTTTAAAAGAAACTTGGGCAAAAAGGAAAGAGGAGATTACAAGCTGTTTCTAGGTCTACCCACTGCCCCCTTTTAAAAGGTCAACTGGTGAGTTTAAGTCAAATCATAGACTTTTAAACCAAAATAAAGGACACAGGACAGTGAAGACAAAACACTATTTTTAGTAATTTTTTGTCCTTTAAAAAATATTAGTCCTCTTCTAGTAAAAATTCATACAGAGCCCACCTAAAACCTTGACAAGGACAGGTAACACAAGAGGAGAGAAGAGGACACAGCACCATAGTCTCAAACATTCACATACAACAGAGAACAGTTAGCATAGACCAGAATAACCAAGTTTCCCAACAGACAGGGACAAGTCCTCCCACCAGCACACAAAGGAAATACAACTATCTATATGAACAAAAGCAAAATGGACAATATAGTCAGGTGACGATGGAGAAGGGAGTGCTAACTCCTTGTACTACAAAAAGGAATGGGATTTATCAAAAAGCAAAAAAGAAAAAGCAAGCTCCCAAATGGATTTTTGATGCTGAAACTCTATCATATGCTGCTGGTAACAGTAAATATATATTTATATATTCATATATATATATATATATATATATCAAAAAAGGAAAAATAATCTATTTATAGACAGTAGTCAGAGACATTTAGAAAAAAGTAAAAACAAGTCCTTTTTTTTCTTTTTAAAAATGGATTTACTAAAACAACTTCATCACCCAGAGGTACTACAATCCCACATCCTCTGATGAAGCCATGGTATTATTTATACAACAGCATCTGCTGTGGGCCATGTTCAGAAGTTGCCATGTTGGAAACAGCAGACATTGGGGTCAGAGCTGCAAGGCAGAAAGCTGTTATTTGCTGGTCTTGCTCATGGCCATGCCTGAAGCTTGGTGGTATCTGAAATACTTGTGAATGATGGTTTCTCCAAAAAGCATGCATCACTGTGGCTCAGTAAAACATTCTGGCTAATATATTCTTCTTCTTCTTCTTTTCAGAAGCTTGGATCCATGTACCTGCTGTTCTCTAATGTGCAGGCAAACTTCTCAGAGCCAAAAAAAAAAAAGGGCTCCTTGCTTTGAAATAAGAACTCTTCTTCCCAGAATCCAATCTAGTCAGATTTCTGAACTGGATACCATCTTTCTCCTTAAGAAGGTAAGGAATCTGCCCCTGATGGTGAGAGGTTCTCTTATTTGGGATTTTCTTCTTAGTACAAGTCAGTACAAGTAGCTGAGGTCTACACACTAGGCTATTATTCCATGACTTCTAACAAGAATAACTTCAACCTGTTCCTCCTAGTTGTACTGGTAGGGCACTAAATACCAGGTGACAGTGGAAGGAAAATGGTACTCTGACTCCTCTCCAACTATACCAACTAAGATCCAAGCAATCAGCACCTTGAGATGGTACTGCTCCTAGGTTGTAAGCTCTAGCTAGTATCAACTGGCCAAAATCCTACATGTTCTGCTAGCACATCAACATATCAATGGCACCCAGCACCCAGGAGCTCCATCAAGTGCCTGACCTTACTTCAGTACACCATACTCAAAGGAGACAAGAGTAGAAATACTGGCTGCTGTACCAAAGAAGACATCCTCTGCATAGGTGTGTTGATAGAGAATGTAGCCTACACAGAATGCAAAGAGGAAGTCAGCACTAAGAGGACTTTCTCTGAAGGCCATTCACCTTTGGAAGCAACATTCAGAGTGGATCTAAACCACTCTACTTGATGACTAAGGTCTCAATGTGGTTTATTTTCCCCCATGTCCCAAACTAACCAAGTATCTGCTAACTGGTCTCTGTAAGGTCTTCCACTGGTAGTTTGTAGCTCATTATGAAGGAAGGAGGTGGTGCTTGACCTGGGCTATCTGGCTCCTGCTTCTTTGCACAGTTTATACAGATGTAATCTTCATTTTCAGCCATTTCTGGAGATACACCCACACAAATCTGATGAAACCACTCATCACAGCCACCATCACATTGTACCCAGTCTACCTGTAGAAGATAAGATTGGGGAATATTTAGAGGTTACATAACATCAGGCCCAAAATAAAAGCAAACCAAAGAGTTTTCTTGGCTTAAACGATAGCAAACAACTGGGGTGTCCAGAGACAGACAATGACTTCTTGTGGGGTTATTTCTCAAAGAAAGAATCTGAGAAGTTAATACCCCAAAGTATATTTTACCATAGTGTGTCCACAAAATTAGGCCTCTTAGGTACTCCATTACCTTATGAATACCTGGGGCTCCTTTTGAGGCAGAAACATGTGTGGGGAAAACTTGACAAAACAGAAACTTCTAATAGAACAGCCATAGTTATAGCTAACATTAAGAATTTCTAGGCTCTAAAACAATGCAGTTCTCAATCAAGAAAGGAAGAGTACAAGGTGAAGACAATCCTGTGTATTAGCTTTATTTCAAAGAGATAAGCCAAAGTACTAAGAACATTAAATACCTTTTTAGAAAAGCAGTCACATAGGCCACTTTTAAAACTAATATTTTTTATTCTTCTCTTCTTCCGTTACAAATACAACTCCCTATAAAAAGTTAGCAAATATCAGAGGTCAAATCTTACAAAGTAACCAATTATTAACAGTCAAAGACACAGGTCAATAGATCACTATGGGGTTTAAAATTAGTCTGGAAAACTGATAAGTACCGGTGGCAGTTGCCAGGCAAATTTTGACCCTCAGAGAATGTTGTAATTATAGAAGTCTAGCAAGGGACTATCAACCTTGGATCTACAGTTGATAATAAAAGTGGCTATTGGCTTTGCTATTTGGAGGGTGGTTGTGGTGGTTTTTTATCTATTGTCATGACTTACGAGAACCTCTGAGATGAAAGGGGCTGCTCTCCCTCTCCAATACAAAGCTTATCATTACATTGGCAATAAAGGAAGGCACTTCCACCCACGAGCTTTACCAGGTACCAGAGCAAAGGAATATGAAGGGATTAAAAGTGCCTCAGCACTGTTTAGAAAATGAAAAAAGGTTTGACTAGGTAAACGAGTTTTCAGGGGAAGTGACTGGTTTTCAAAATTAGTTTTCATGTCCTGTAAGACTTATCAAAGTCACAACAATCATGTCAGTGGTTTTAGGCTTGTAATAATAGGTGAGAAAATAATCATTTTGTTTTTATTATCCTTATTCTAGAATTCTAGATATTAAGAGATAATATTACAGTATAAAGATTACTAAATTCAGGCTGGGCACCTGGATCCCAACTACTTGGAAGACAGTGATAAAGAAGATCGCGATTTGAGGTCAGTCCAGGCAAAAACAAGCTGGGCAGTGGGGCAAACACCTATAATCTCAGCTAGGCAAGAGGCACAGGGAAGATCATGGCCTGAAGCAGGCCCCAGGCAAAAACATGAAATGCTATAGAAAAATAATCTAAAGCAAAAAGGGCTGGTACAAAACTCAAATGGTAGACAACTTACCCAGCTAGCATATGGCCCTGAGTTCAAGTCATGATACTGTCAAAAAAATTGCTCAATTAGAAGTTCTGAGTTCTGGTATATATAATTTCAGGCAAGTAATTTAACCTGAGGCTCAATTTCCCACTCTAAAACTTCCTACAGCACTGCTCCTCAAAATGTGTAGATCACTTGCATCAGAATCACCTGAGGTGTTTTGTTAAAAATTTACTGGTATCCATGCCAAACCTATGGACTCAAAATATTGGGTGGAGGGGATGAACCAGAAGTCTACATTTCTAATCAGCTCCCAAATTATTTATTTATTTTTGAGACAGGGTCTTGCTATGTAGCCCAAACTGGCCTCCAACTTGCAATTCTCTTGCCTCTGCCTCCCCAGGATTACAGACAATGCCACTGCATTTGGCTTCTTATCTATTCTAAATTTGACTGTTGCTGCCCTTTCTTTGTGATGTTGCTTCCTGTAAATTCAGAGCAACTTAACAATTCCTTCCTAAACTAAATTCCAGTTTTACTGTGTGACTGTATAATGTTTTGCTTCTGAATTCTGTGTGATAAGAAAAGAACTGATCAGAATGATCCTGTGCAGAAAACTAATCAGAAACAAAATAAGAGACAATGATTTCTGTAGAACAAAATAACACTCTTTACCTATAAGCAGGCAAAGATTTAGAGTGCTAACCATGTAACAGATGAAGTCAGGATGAGGGTTCAGGTGTTTAGAGCTGGCAAAGGGAATGGAAAGGTAGCCTGTGTTTCTCTGGATTGCCTATGAGTGAGATTCTGTGCTGTTTTACAATGCCACCCTCAAACCAAGATCCCTTCACCCTCACCTCCAGCTTTCTTAACTCAATCAAATCCCTGTTCATGCTAGTCCACAGAACAAAAAAGTTACCAACTGAGTATGTGCTACCAAGAAAAGTATTCCATGGGCTTTTTAATCTAATATTTTACTGTATTCGCTGTTTCCCAAAGTTAAATCTACCATTCTCTTTCAAACAAGACAGACAGTATATTCCCTTCTGTGATTTTGACTAGAGGTTGCTTCCTAAGTACAGCTTACCCACTGTTCCATAAGTATAATGATATCATTCTCCTTGAGAGATTCACTGGTTCACAGATTCTATCCCAGCCTATTGGTTATATGCAATTCATATACAATTTACCCTGATAACACAACAAGGGAAAAACTGTCCTCTTACCAATATTTTTATGTTCATCAATATTTTTCTATGTTCATCTATTAACAATCAAACTTGAGTTCCATCTTTGTTTGAAAAGGGCCAAAGAATCATAAAGCAAAGTAAAGTTCAGAACTGAATCCACAGAAAATCTTGACAAGGAAAACAGACTATGTAGTAACCTCAAAACTCAAGAACATAGAATCTGGCTAATTGATGCTAAGTTCTAATAGTCATGAAGGGGGAACCCTTTATTATTTCTGGAAGAGGTGCTTAGTGAATCACAAAGATTAGTATTTTAGAAACTTCAGAGAAAACCAGGCATGTAGGTTGAGACAAAAGGACTGCTTAAGCCCAAGAGTTTGAGGCCTGCATGAACATCATAGGAAGAGCCCATCTTTTAAAAAACAAGAAGCAAACATCATAGCTATGAGCTGTTTGACTAGGCTAAGATCAGAAGGGATTGTGTGTGGTTTGAGGCCAGTCTGTGAAAAAAAATAAGGAAGACCCTATTTCAACAAATAACCTGGGTGTGGTGGCTTATGCCTGTCATCCTAGCTATGTGCGATGACCTAAATAGGAGAATGGTTCTGAGTTCAAGTCTCAGTAATGCCACATACCCCAGAAGAAATATATTAGAGTCTAGGGTTATTTTAGCTCAGAGGTAGTGTTTGCCTACCATGTTCAAGGCCATGGGCTCCATCCTAGCACAGGAGATGAGAGTGAGTAAGTGAGTGAGTGAGTGAGTGAGTGAGTGAGTGAGTGAGAGAGAGAGATAGAGAGAGAGACAATGAATACAGAGGAAATGTTAGTTTGATGTTCATGTTTTGCTCTTTGATTTCACTTAAATAATTCACAGCATATTATATTTTGTTCATTTCTTAGAGCATAATACTACACTGAAGAAAAAGAAAAACTGATCATGTAGTTCAGTGATAAAAGGGTGGAATACACACATGGATTAACTCAGTATCACGTGCGTGTTACACACATGGTAAAGGGTAACTCAATATTCTCAGCTAACTCAATACCGTTTTTGTTATTTTGGCCTAACAGCCTCTTTTGTACCAATGTTCCTTGAAAAAGCCAGACTTTAAAATGAAAACTACTCACTGAAGTACTTACAATATATATTCAGAATCCTTGTGCATATTTTTTTGGTGCTCTAAACATTAAGCAACCAGTACGTGGGAATTTCAGTGCTAAAACTGGGAAAATTCCAAGCAAATTGAGACAGACAACTGGTTACCATATCTCATCAACCTGTATATAGTGTTACACATTTATTTAATCCAGGCTTTTGATGATCTGTGCTAAAAGAAGCGATAAACTGATAGAGCCACCAATAATGCAAGTTTTTGGAGGCAACAGATTCCGCCCTCCCCACCAAAAAAAAAATCTTTTAAAATCAGAGTAGCTTACATAGTAAATGGGAGAAGCACAAGTTTATAAATATAAATTTCTTCACTTAGCATACCAAGCTTCCTATGAAGTAGGAATAGTAAGAAAAGGCCCACAGAAAGAGGGGTAAAAAAGAAGAAAAGATAAGATTATTTTCATATGTAAAATGAATATTTATTCTAACAGTGAAAAGTTGCTTCTTAAATATCAGCCCAAAAGAACTTGCTCTTTCGAACTTGTTTTATTTTTGGTACCAATAAGAGTAAATAACGGGAAAGACTTGAGGAAGAAAAAGCTTCTGAATTGTAGAACTAACTTTTTGAAAATAATCATTATTTTAAACATTCATTTCTGCTTGAATCTGGTAACTGATGGGAAAGATTTCAAAACAACTTTTACATTATTCCGGTATTATCTTTCTCTACTCTTTCTAAAACATCTTGAAAATAAGGGTAGGTATATTCAAGTAACCATTCTTCTAATTTTTTTTTAATTATTTTTATTTTTTTGTGGTACGGTGGCTTGAACTCAGGGCCTACACCTTGAGCCACTCCACCAGTTTTTTTCTGTGATGGGTATTTTTGAGACAGGGTCTTGTGGACAATATCCCCGGGCTAGCTTAGAACCATGATCCTACTGATCTCCACCTCCTCAGTAGATAGGATTACAGGCGTGAGCCACCAGAGATTTCTAAATCTGCATATTTTTAGGAAAAAGTAACAGTAATTACTGGTGAGAGAAATGGAGTACATTTCCCTAAATAATGAATGACCCCTAAAAGTTACTTTTGCTGTGGTATGTTTTAAAGAACAGGCTTCCCTAAAAAATACTCTTTTGTTACTATGTTGTTCTGAAGATGAACACTGTGTATTAATTATATTTCCTTAGGAAACACTACAAATTAAAAAGGTTAAAAATGCTTTATAAGGGTTTAAAAAGAAATATACCAGCTGGGCATAATAGTGCATGCTACTTGGAAGGCAGAGATCAGTAGGATCATGTTCAAGGCCAGCTGAACAAAAAGTTAGGAAGACCACCTCCTTTCAACAAATAAGCTGTACAATTGTATAATGTCAGCTATGCAGGAGGTATATGCAGGATAACAGCAGTCTAAGACTGGCCCCAGGCAAAAACATAAGAACATAGCTGCAAACTAAATGAAAAATCACTTTTTAAAAAAAAGCAAAAAAGGGACTAGCAAGTTGAAAGCCTGAGCTCAAAACTCAAACCCCAGTACTCCCCATCTCCCAAAAAGAAACACACCAGAAAAAGAAATATTCCCAACCTCTAGGAGGGTGAGGTAAGAGGATTATAAATTTGAGCCAGCCTGAGCTACATAGTGAGCTCCAATGCAGCCTGGGCTACAGAGAAACATCCAAAAGAGAAAAGGGAAAAGAAAAAAAGAAAAATACCTATTATTTTGTAAAAGCAGAGTCAGGAATAAATGTTTATAAGCAAATTATAAAATAGCAATGACAAGTGAAATACATGTAATCTGAAATAATCTGTTTAAAATTAAACAGAAATTAACACTAAATTTATTTTATGTAAACTAATGACGGAATAAGGCACATACTGTTTGCTTTTAAGTTTAAAGTGACTTTTGCTATCAGTACTAAGCTAAATCTATGCTCCATCAACATATACCTAGAAAACTCTCTATTACATCACAGGCAAATCTCAGGATTCATTTAAAAGTAATGCTCACCTCATTAACACTTACATTGCACTTTCTGTTAACAGTGCTTCCAATGAGATTATTTCATCTTTCCTCATAATCTTTCAACTAAGCAGGGCATAAGTTTATTTACATCTAATTCTATAGCAAATTAAAAAAATACCAGTAGTGTTTACATGCTATAGGAAGAACACAGGGATAAGAGATGAAATGAATCATATTTAAATGCTGAGTAGAAAGATGAAATGGTAAGGAGAAAAAAGAGAAAAGTCATGATGGATGTAAACATTATCAGAAGATAAGAAAGTATGAAAAAGAAATACCATATTATCTTGCTGCTAGTCTTGAAACTGTCAAAAAATGAACTGAAGAAAAGGGAGAAAGATCTGCAAATACTAAGCTGCTAATATTTTAGAACTCAACTCATCAGCCTTTTTGGTGAACAAATTCAGATGAAAAGCAATTTAAAATGAAGGATAAAAATTCACACATAAAGAATCTATTAAAATGCTTATGAAATGAATAAAGCAACATGTGAAAGTGAACAAGTATGACAAGGATATAAAACAAACTACTGAAAAAAGAATGGAGGGAAAAAATATTTACAGTTATTATCCTTGAAAGATTAGAATATGCTACATATTTTATCTTATACTCATTTTCCAAAAATGAATGGAAACCTTCCTAAAAAGTCTCACTTGTATTTACTTAACTGTACTTTGGTTTGGAGTGGAGCTGTACTTATATCTCAATATCCATGGGGCTGGGTATTAATGGAGAACCTACTGGAAGCCAGGGCTCTGCTTTTGGTTTTGCCACTAAACAGCTATGTGACATTGGTCACATCACCATTTGTAAAGTAAGGAACCTGAACAAAGTGACCTCTTGATCCCATAAGGCTTTAAAAATGTGTAAGCATTTGACTTAGAAGGTAAGTGGGGACACAAACTGCAGGGAATAGCAATGTAGTTTTATTTATTCTGCTTTTATTTTCAAATTGAAGAGCTATTAAAATTCTAAATATCAAGTAGAATAATGTGCATAAAATTAAAGCCATAAATTTATTAAGTTTTTGCTGTTATTTTCTGAGACAGGATCTCACTATGTAGCACAGGCTGGCCTTGAACTCAGGATCCTCCTGCCTCAACCTTCCAGGTACTAGGATTACAGGCATGTACCACCATGCCCAGATCCTTCTCTGGGTTTTTTTTTTTTTTTTTTTAGCAGCACTGGGGTTTTAACTCAGGGCCTCATGCATGCTAAGCAGGCACTTTTACTGCTTGAGCCACTCCACCAGCCCTTATTTGTGAGGGTCTCTTGAACTATTTGCTTCAAACCGCAATCCCCGACTAATTTCTGCCTCCTGAGTAGATAGGATTACAGACATGAGCCACCAGCACCCAGCTTCATGACACTCTTGATAGAAATGAAAACAGGTGCCTCCAATCCATTTAAAGAACTGAGATTTTTGTAGTCTGTCCATTTTTCTCAGAAGTTCACATCATCAATATTACCTAACAAATGGCCAGCAATATACTTAAAATTTAGGATTGAAAATTTTAAAACAATACTTTCAAAGGTCTGAATTTTTTGTTGCAAAATAATCATATGCTGTTCAGGAGAGTACACAGAAGCTTGAGTGTGCATAAGATAAGAACTAAGAAGTTTTATGTCTCTGGAACATACTTCTAGTGCAATGTGCCAACTTCTTAAAACACCAGCCCAGAATTTTTTCTGGCAATGTGGGTAACTAATAAGGTATTGCCCTATAGGGGAGGCACAGTACTACTGTGAAACTTGTTCTGTCCACTGAAAATGAAATGCACTGCTTTGCCAGGTGATGTCCCTTAGCTTTTTTTTATGCTTCTGTCTCATTATGTTCACTAAGTACATGATTTTAAAAATCTACCATTTTTTACTTAGAAGCTTCATTATCCCAACCAATTTATAAAAACCGTAGTTTATGTTAGAAGTCCAAATCCTGAAAACTGCAAACACTCTGTGATCATATTAAACATGTCTCCATGACTGCCAGCCTTGACCCTGTCTCATGGGAACTCACCTTGTCCTTGCAGGGCCTTTGGCAGTTCTGGGCTGCACACACAGCATTCTCATCATCAGAGTCTTCTGCTCCTGACCAGTCATACTTTGAGGGGATGTCTAGCACTTTCTTCTCTCTTTTCTTCTCAGTATTCTCTTTCACAAGTTCAACTTTGGCTGCAGCAGCCTTTTCTTTTTTTTTCTTTCTCTCTTCTTCTTTTGCCAGTTTCTTGGCCAGTTTATTCAGCTCCTTTGATTTGTCTGCATTTAATTTTAATTTCTTCTTTTTAGGTTTGTCCATTTTCTTTAGCTCCTTGGACTTCTGTTTTCCTTCTCCGAAAAGCTGTTCTACCTTTTCTAGCTTCCGTTTCCGTTTCTTCTCTGAAGAGTCCTTTCCTTTCATTTTTAATGGTTTCTCTTCCATGCTGTCATCCTTCAAAAATATAAAATTATAAACAATTTTAACACAAGACATTTAAAAACAATGTCATTCTCTTATGTGTGGTACCTACAATACACAAATTCATAGAAACTGAAGAATAATGGTTACTGGGAGGTGGAGGAGAAAATAGATTTGTTCAACGGGCACAGAGTTTCTGTTTGGATGATTAAAGAGTCGTAGAAATGTATCATGGCAATGACTGCTTAACACTGTACTGTACTTAATACACTGAACTGTCCACTCTCGAAGGATTAAAATGGTAAACCTTGTGTTATATATATTATGCCACAATACAAGAGAGAGAGAGAGAGGAGAGAGAGAGAGAGAGAGAGAGAGAGAAGAGAGAGAGAGAGAGAGAGAGAGAGAGAGAGAGAGAGAGAGATCAAAAAAAGTGTTATTCTAAAGATATTTAAGAAACAGATTAAACCACAAAAAAAAAAAAAAAAAAAGAAACAGATTAAAAAAGCAATACTGCTGGGCATGGGATGTATGCCTATAACCCCAGCACCTGGGTTTATACAAAAGACCTATCTCAAAAAGCCTCCCCTCAAAAAAAAAAAAAAAAAAAAAACTGTCATTTTTCTTTGATCAATTTTCTAATACTGTTGCCATTCTATGCCAATATAACATTTAAAATTTTAATAGAAAAAGTCACCCAGTAACAGAAAGAATGGGGAGGATTAGAAAAAGAAATAAAAAACCATAACCTTTGTAATTCATTAAGGAAAAACATCTGAGAATTTATTTTTTTTCCTGCAGATTTGAGATCAGAATCTTTTACAAGAACCTAAGAATCAACGGAATCCAAATGACATTGGATTATAAGTGTCTTAAGTCTATTACACCTTGAACACCATGTAAGTAATAAAGAGGATTAGATAAGACGTGAAGAAAACGCTTTGTAGAATAGAAAACACCATTCAAATTAAGCTACTTTTGATAGGTCTTTCAAACCAAAAACAAACTATAGTGTGCTAAATGTATTTGTCTTGATAACTGGTGACAATGTACCATTCCATTACATGGAAACAAGACTAATGAAAAGAATGTTGGGAATCAGAAGCCAGAGTTAGTATTTCCTTTTTGTTTATTAGTTTATGGCAGTTCTGGAGATCAAACCCAGGCCCTCCAGGCAAGTTACAACTGCAGCCCAAGGCTTTTTTAGGTTTGCTTTGCTGTAATTTTTGATAAGGAGTCTCACATGAAACACTTAAAAAGCCTCTTGAGGTCTCAAGAAGTCAAGCCAAGAATTTACCACCCAACTTCACCAGGAGCATACCTGGGTTAAATCCCTCCTCTTGAGGTCACCAAAATATCCTAAAGTTCATGGGCCTGTCAGAAAATGACATTCTTTACTAAATGCAAGGCCAGGAACCCTGTAAGGGAATCACACAGACAAGATACACGACTACTTTTTTCCAAAGAGGACTTTATTTGCTCCTTAGCGTTGGGTCATATCTCTAGAATCCGTATTTCTAAATGTTTGCTAGATGTGTGACTTTAACTTTCCACCTCTCTGATCCTTAGTTTCCCCATATTCAGAATGGAATAAATACTTGCCCCATCTACCCTTCCCCTGACTCCTCTTAAGGATTATGGTGAGGAACAAAGGGGACTGTGACTACAAAAACTGCTATGGAAGTGTAGGTATATGGAGGTGGATTCTCCCTCCCACCCAATCCAGTTCTATTTAACCATCTCCTTGCTTCTTCTTTTTTTTTGGCGGTACCGGGGCTTGAACTTGGGGCCTCACATTTGGTAGGCAGGTGCATTACCACCTGAGCCACTCCACCAGCCCTTCTTCTTCTTTTTTTTTTTTTTTTTTAAGCCACTACCTTTTCCTAATTCTGGGCATTCCTTAGGAGTCTGGGATAAGGAGGTTGTTCTAAACTGGTTGTTTTCAGTCCTCCAATCATTCTGCTAAGCAGAAATGATCTTTAAAAAAATTAAATATTACACAAAATTTCAATAAAGAAAAGCATAGAGCAGAATTATTCTGACTTAAGTGAGAGAGTAAGGCAGTCATATTACTGCCCACTCAGCTGTGTAACAATATATATGGTTCCTCTAAAGGAATGTAGGCATTCTACAGTTTTAAAACCACCATTTAAGTTAATACTAAACCCATACCTCCAGGATATGTAGAAATCTGTCTTCTGAGGGTGGGTGTGTGGCCTGCAAAATCCGCCATATGTGTTGTGTCTCATCCAGAGACACTTCGAGAAGGTCTCCAACCATCATGAGTTCTTCCAACTGTGCTTTAGCTCCAGGTGACAACTCCAACACTGGAGGTTCCAAACTTCGGGGAACTAAAGGGCTCTTCCGAGGTTGTTTTCTTGGGGTGCTAGAACCTTTCCCAAAAAAGTACCATAAAACAAAACAAAGTGAGAACTGTGGATAGATAAAATGTTTTCAAAGTGATTATTTAGGAGAACAATCTCCCTCTCCCTGCCTACTGACTTTAGGTATCTGCATTCATGATAATAGTATTAAAGTGAAAACAAAGAGGGTTTTTTGATTGTTTCTTGAAATGAGGTCCTGCTTTGTTGCTCGGGTAGACTATAACCCCTGTGCACAAGTGATCCTCCTTCTTTTAGCCTCCTAAGTAAACAGTACTACAGGTGGGCCCCACACATCCTTGCAAGTGAAAATGAAATTAAAATCAATTACAAGACAAAAGATCTAGAATTCCAAGGCAGACTCTAAAAACTTTGGTTTAGAGTTTGTTTCTTCATCCTGATTATTGCAAAATCTCTTAACCCATGTTTTCTCCATTTTATTGACTGATTAATTTTTTTGATGATAGTGGAGTTTGCATGCAGGGCCTCACGCTTGCTAGCAGGTGCTCTACCAATTCAGCCACACTCCCAGCCCTGTTCTCTCTGTTTTAGTCTACACGAAAACATTAAGCAGTAGCTGCCCTTAAGTAAATGGTTATCTGCCTAGTGAGCAGACAATATGATACTCTAAATCCTAAATTTTACTAAAGAGAAAAAACAATTTGCTCAACTATTGGTAATGATCAAATGAAGGTAAATGATTACCTACCAAGAATTTTATAAAAAACAAGGACTGGAGGTGTGGCTCAAGCAGTAGAGCACCTGTTTTCAAGCATGAAGCCCTGAGTTCAAACCCCAGTCCCACCAAAAACAAGTAAACAAACAAACCAAGAGATGTAACTATATGGCCTCTAATATTATTCTATTTAGGACTCTATAATCCTAAATTTTCAGGCTATCATCTAATGATAAAAAAATGCAATCCAAAATGGTGTTAGCATTTCATAACCAAGCACTGTTACTTATTCAAGAGTGATTCATAAACCTTATTAATATAATGTTTTTCTCTGTTCAGGTTTATTCTTCTCCCATGCTTTAAACAGGGTTAATAACCTTGAGAAACAACTCTTAGAAAGCAGAGAATAAGCATGTTCTGCACGAATTGAAGGTGCTGTCCACATGTGAGTTACCCACTTCCTTCAGACTTGCCATGGGGAATTTTCTTCATCACGAAAAAGATTGGGTTTTCCCAGACTACTAGAGGACTTCACACTGTGGCTGATCCTGAAGAAGAAAAGAGGTAATTAGAATCAAAAGCACTTTTAACTTGACCCCTATGAACAAGGATCTAAATGAAGGTTTCAAGTTAAAGGTTCTAAAGACATGACACTGAAATTAACTATATGACCCAGATACATTGAAATAAGGAAAGGGAGGATCGCAGTTTGAGGCCAGCTCAGGCAGAAAAAAAAGTTTAGTGAGAAGTCCCTCCACCCACACGCCTTGTCCCTCGCAATTACTCAACAAAACAAAATGACCAGGCATGGTGATAATTCTTTTAAAAATCCCTCTACTTCAGGAGCCATAAGTAAAAGAAACTGAGGCTGACCAAGCAAAAAAGTGGGGAGACCCTATTTAAAAACTAACTAGAGTAAAAAAGGTGTTGGGGTCATGACTTAGGTCATAGACTGTTTGCTTGAAGCCCTGAGTTCAAACCCCTGTCCAACCAAAAAAAAAAAGAAATACAAAAATGGACTTGAGAGGGGAAGAAAAGTTTAGATGTGATGTCTTAAAACAAAGCCACTTAATTCTCTCAAAAGATTTTCAAACCTATAATCTTACCAATTGTTCTCACAATGCAATGAAGAGCCTAGCTGACAATATACAAATTATACAACTGACAGTTCTAATCAGATCAGATGATTCCCCACGGAATTCATTTCCACAAACTCATTTGTTTAAGTCTGAGTACAATCAAATGGAAATCATACCAGGTATTTCAATAGAGAATTTAATATGAGAAACCAGTCAAATGTGAATTAAAGAACTGAAAAAGCAAAATAGAAATACTGAGAAAACACCTAGATAGTAATTACAGGAAGGAGTTCCCATTCCCTAGGGCTGGTGGGGTTATCAGAACCTAAAAGCTTACAGAAGGGGCGTGTGGAGTTGGAATCCAGACCTCTGAGGAGGAACTACTGGCCAATTAGTTGTGTCTTCTCTGATGGAACATGATGTGGAAGTGGGAAGGGGTAGAAATTTCAGTCAGTTGCCTATGCCAGGTTCACAACAACAAACATGTAATTTGGATGCAAAAACAGGAACAGGGAATAAGTAGGGCAAAGACCAAGTCCCTCCTCACCATTCAGGCCTTTTAATTTTTTTCTAATGTCCTACTGGTAGGACAGGCATTTGGCAAAGGACAAATGTACAGAGCAGGAGTTGGCAAACTACTATCTGTGGGCCAAACCCAGTAGGCAGCCTGTTTTTGTATGGATTGCAAGCTAAGGATAGTTTGTACATTTGTAAAGAGTTGTGTAAAAAAATAAAAGTAGGGAATTCCAAGATGGCGGCTAGAGGTAGGAAGCAGAAGGAGACCCTACTATAGTGAAATCTTGGAGAGACGCTGGAGACACACTTTGCAGGCATAATCACCGAGAAAAGGCATAACTTTGACTCCTCCACACCTCCAGCCGGTGCAGAGAATCTCCACTTCACGTTAAACGGAGAAACCAGGAGGCCCCCGGGCCGCCAGTGGCCGGCGCCCATACGGCTTGGGAAGACGCGGACCAGGTGAGCTTCGCGGTACCGCGGTTCCCCCACAGACAAGCCTGGGCCAGAGCAGCATAGCCCCCTGGACAGACTGACCTCCACCCGGGAAAAAAAGAGAAACTGAGTACTAAGCAATAAGAACAGTTAAGACACGCTGGAAAGAGGGGGGGCGCCCTGAGCGCTGAAGATTGGGGGAAGGGAATCCTTCCCGGGCTGTAAATAAACGAGCGGCGGGCCGGAGAGGCTCTGGCGGGAGCGGGCGCGCGCCAGCAACCAGGAGCGGGGACGCTTGTGAGAGGAGGGAAACCCACTTCCCACGTGAACTGTAAATAAACACGCAGGCCTGACAACGGGGCAGTGTCGCCTTTCCCAGTGCTTGGAAAGGGGAAAGCCTGTAGCAGAGGCTCCCGCACAGGAGAACTCTGAGCAAACAAAGCCTGTGGGACCAGGTGAGTGCTAAGCTCACCCCAGAGATCTGCATAAATAACGCCGCCAGCTACAGGCTGAGAGCAGCAGGCAGGCAAGCCACAGTTGCAGATACCACTCTCAGAACTGCCTCCAGACCTTTTTTTTTCTTTTTCTCCCTACCTTTGATGAGAGAACAACCGAATTACACCTGCAAGCGAAAAACTTACTGAAACTGTATTGCATTTGAACTGGGACACTTGGTGGGGCTTTTTTTTTTGTGTGTGTGTGAGTGTAGTTTTGTTCTACTTTATGCATCCCCTTTGATGAGACAACTACAGAACAACATCTGAGGCACCACTCCAGGACTGGAGATTGAGACGGACACCCAAATTATTAAGACTGAAATTGCATTGCATATAAACTTGGAAGTTTTTTGGTTTTTTGTTTTTTTTTAATTTTTATTTTCCATTTTATTTTAATTCATTTTTATAAATAGATATTACTTTCATTATACTTATTTTTTATTTTTTTTATCTTTGATTTTCAATCCTCTGTCTCTCTATTGTCTGTTCAGCTTACTGTCGATTAGTACACTAACACTCCCTGTTTATACCTTTGAAACTCTCTTGTCTGATACCTTGTTCTGCTTTCTCCCTCTTGTCTGTATATTTGTTTTCCCCTTTTCTTTAACTTCTTGCTTTCCATCTCAGCTCACTCTTCCATTCTAATATTACCATTGTTATTATTACAAGCTAGAAAATACTTAATTACACACAGTACAGGGACAGTAACAACACCAAGGACAATGACAGGAAGACAGAAAAAACAGGAAACCAGTTTCCCCACAGCAAAAAATTAGTACAGGAACCAGAGGGGAATGAAGAGAACAGAAACTCAGATCCAGACTCCAACAAAATGAAGATAAACTATGCCAAAGACCCAATGAAGCCACAAGAATAATTTAAAAGAAGACATACTACAAGTACTCAATGAGAATTTTATAGAGATGATACTGGATAGGGTCAACCAAAATGTACAGGAGACACTCAAGAAATTCCAAGACAATAAAAATAGAGAATTTGAAAAAGCAAAAGAAGAAATAAAGGAAACCATAGAAGCACTGTATAAACACCAAAGTGAAAGAGAGAACACAATGAATAAATGGATAAATGAACTCAGGACAAAAATAGACAACATAAAGAGAAAACAGCCAGGATATGGAAAACCTCAGAAAAAAGAACGAAACAGAACTGCAAAACAAAACGGAAGGCCAATCCAGCAGAATAGAACAAACAGAAGACAGAATCTCAGAACTTGAAGATGAAATGGTAATTAAAGGAAAAACCTGAAGAACTATTAATTAAACAACTCAAGACCTGTGAAAAGAAAATGCAAGAACTCACCGACTCCATCAAAAGACCAAACTTGAGAATCATGGGCATCGAAGAAGGAGAAGAGGTGCAAGCGAAGGGAATGCGTAATATATTCAACAAAATAATAACGGAAAATTTCCCAAATCTAGAGAAAGATATTCCCATACAATGCAAGAGGCCTCCAGGACACCAAACAGACCAGATCAAAATAGAACTACCACGACATATCATCATTAAAACAACAAGTTCAGAAACTAAGGAAAGAATATTGAAGGCTGTAAGAGAGAAAAAACAAGTAACATACAAAGGTAAACCCATCAAAATCACAGCAGACTTCTCAACAGAAACATTAAAAGCAAGAAGAGCGTGGGGTGAGATCTTCCGGGCACTGAATGAAAATAACTTCAACCCCAGGATACTCTACCCAGCAAAACTATCATTCAAAATAGATGGAGCAATAAAAGTCTTCCATGATAAGCAGAAACTAAAACAATATGTGACCACAAAGCCACCATTACAAAAGATTCTGCAAGGGATCCTGCACACAGAAAGTGACACCCAACTTAACCATGAA